CAATTCATGAGACAAACTAAGTTCATAAAGTATCTTCATGCGAAATAAATTTGATGGATTTTTGTAAGTTTTCACTTGCAACATCTAACTTAATACCGATAAAGAACAGTCGAATATATATTATATAGTTTTATACATCAGAATAAAAAGAGTCAATAAATACATTCATCTTCACATTTTGTTGTCAAGTGTCTCATTTAAATTCAACAAATTCTAACTGATTAAATATCACAGACAAATTTTATATTTATATCAAGTATGTGAAGAAAACAACAGTCATTCGTTTATGAGATAATTATACGACTAGAAGAGGTAAATAAATTTATTGCATAGTTCACAGTAGTATAAATACAACTGTTTGATCTGGTAATTCATATATTTTCAGTATTATTTTTATTATGCGATATTTTCTTGTCGTTTTACTTGTGAGCCTTGTAATGGCACACACTATCCAGTGTTCTGCTATTCGATTCGACGAGGATCTTGATGATCGTGTTGAACGTGCTGATAGCGATGATATTGATGATCGTATTGAACGTGATGACAGCAATGATAATGCCCGCCGAGATCTTGGTGGAATCGTCGAATGCACCGAACAATGTACCAAATGGCAAATGTGTCGAGTAAAATGTCTGTTTAGTTTCTTCTGCAAATGTAATCAACCATCGGGATGTGATTGTAGTAAATTCATATGGGAACATTAGAACAAAACAATTTTTTTTCTTTATTGACCAAATAATTGTTTTTTCATCGTTTTCTTTTCATGAATTACTAAAGAATGTGTATCATTCTGGTTCGCAAAAGTGCGATACAATAAATTTGAAAATTCTTAACTTGCTTGGAAATGAAGAGAAAGAAAGGCAATCTAGAACAGATATCGGTGAGGGTATTGAAGACTCTTTCGCTCACATCTACTCCTTTATATTAATATTAAATAAAATTAATTGTATGAATAACTGTTTCATTGATAAACAATTGGAGATAGAATAAGTATTGCTACTATACTCATGTTTAATTAGTAACAGTTACTCGTCTACAACCATACGATAGTTTGAATCCTATATTTTTTATATTTTTGAATTGCACAATCTCAATACTGTAATTTGTAATCTAATGAAAAGAGACGAGCCATGATCGATGGCTAGCACAACTCTGAAGTTATGAGACAGAAGCATTACTTTCGGTCTTTCGAGACGACATTCATCGATCAATTCGACACTTGTTTGTTTTTATTTATTTTTTTGTTAAATAATCAAGTGTGGGCGTAGATGAGAAATTAGAACTATACCATCATCCACATTCACCCTCACAGCTACTTCACTTGCTCTTTCGCCAGTAAACGATAGGATTCTAGAAGAGACATATCCTTATTGAAATAAACAATGGTCGTTATTTATAAAACTTTACTTGCAAAATAATTTATTATTAAAAATCTATTACTTTTGATCCCGTTTTATGCATCTAAAATACATATATTTGTATTAATAAAAATACTTTTATTGATAATTATTCACTATAGTTAATAAAGAAAATAACCAAAAAATACATTTCAATAAAACAATTTATGAAATAGAATACTTTTGTTAATCAACAATAGATTTATGTAAGTTGACTCATCAGTTTAAATATTGTTTATAGATTACAGTAACATATTATAAGTCAATAAACTAAACTTGGTTAATACAAAAACGACTCCGAATGGTTTTTTATTATGCTTGAGTGAATCGTGATTTTATATACAATGAAAAACAAACCATCGATAATATGACTCAGTTCCTTTGCGTTTTTTTCTTCTTTACTCGGAACAAAATATCTATAATTTTTATCTCTTTTGCGTTAATAAATATATTCGACTCGGAAGAAGCACACGTATTCATTTTTGATACTATATAAATCAGAGGTAATTTATATGGTTGATCAAGTCACTGATCCATTCGAAAGTAAATATGTATTATTTTATCTAAACTTTGCTTCTTTTTCAGTAAACATAAAGGCATTATTATTATTAATTTATTGGTAATACTGTAAATCAAGATATATTTTGTTAGGATCAAGGCAGTATATATGTTTTTATAGAGAAGAAAACACATTTATTCATCTTTTACTGTTCAGAGTAATAATTTTGATATTTTCAGATAAACATTAGTCTGACGATTTATACAAATTATAGTATTCGACATGGCCTCATACTATCAAAAGAATAATACACGAATGTCATTTCCAATGTATTTTGGAGGAAATACAAAATTTGGTGATGGTGCATCTACTCCATTGCAGATGATTAATTTATATGTTGAACAACAAGTAAATGCAACTTTTCCACTCCTTCATCAAGTAGCAACAACAATGACATTTACAAATACACACAATCGACGATTAGAAGGTGCACTGGAATTTACATTACCACAAACAGCTACAATATGTGGATTTGGTAAGCACAAATTCTGAATAAATAAGAGACATTAATTGATATTCATGTTCTTGTCTTTTTTGTTAGGTCTTGATGTTGATGGTCGAATTGTTGATGGTGTTGTTGT